TAAATGCCTGCTGTGTTTTATGGCAGGCCTTATTTTTGATGAGTATACAGTCTTGCTATAGCAGAGGGTAAAACATCAAGCACATTGATAAAGTGTTTCACCTTGCAGACCTCTGGGGAGAGATTGCTATGGATTTAGAAGTTGTGCTCATCTCAGGCAAACAAATGCAGGAGTTGATGGCATATGACAAAAAGTTTTTTTCTTCATGGAAGCTAGCAAAAGGAGACAGAAAGGGAATACAAGGTGAGAGAGATGGTTTATCACTATCCTTTCCATTCAAGATGTGTTTTTCAATAAGAAGTATATATTTAGGATCAACTATGTATATAGTATTTTGGTAAATGATGGAGATAAAATAACAAAAGAGGATTAACAGGCTCTCTATACTCAAGGAACTGACCCTCTTATTTGGACCAGAGTCATTTGATAAAGAGAGAGCTTTATCTAGCAGTCTCTCTTTTTTCTTTTTGCCTACATAAAATAGTTTCCAGAAGGTTTTTTTAGTATACAGGAATTTACACCATAATTATCCTTATTTTTTTTAAGCTTTATTGTGAACCATTTTCAATAATTACACAGTAGAGAAAATAGTATAGTGAGTCACACTCACCATACCAAGCCTCCACATTCAATAATTATTTTGTCATACTGGCTTGGTCCATCCTTTTTCTCTTCTTTTTTTTTTTCCTTCCTTCCCTAATTGTTTCCCTTCTTCCCTTCCTGTGCATTTTAGAAGAAATTTATGACATTGCACACTTTTACTCCACACAGTTTTATATTATAGCATGCATATATATATATATATATATATATATATGCACTGTAATATAGTCTTTTGTTGTTTCTTTTCTCACTTTTTAGTTCAGGATAGCCTTGAACTCACTATGTAATCCAGCTTGATCTCGAACTTGTGGCAGTCCTCCTGCCTCACCTTGCTGAGTGCTGGGATTAAGGCATACACTACCACATCCAGTTCTAACTAGTCATCAGATGGCCATTTGCATTGTTTATAGTTTTTTATAAGTGTTGCTCCCTATGGCATCTTTATATGCCTATTTCTTTTTAATATCCTTATGCATACATCTTTACTTATACTTGGCATTTTCTTGGAATGGAATCTTATGGAAATTTTCATTGCTGAAGCAAAGGGTATATGTGATTTATAAGTAGTTACATAATACCAAAACTTCCAGAAATTTTATAATTCTTTTTCCCATTAACACTGTACCTGTTTATTTATATCTCTGCTAATCTATATTTTGTCAGTCATTTTTGTTGATGTCTCAGTATCAAAGATTTTATGTCCATATAGAAATTATTATTGAGCCAGGCTTGGTAATGCAGCCCTGTAATCCTAGTACTCTGGGAGAGTGACAAAGTAGGATTACAAATTCCAGCCCAGCCTGGGCAATTTAGGAATTTAGCAAGATCCTGTCTCGGAAAAACAGGACTGGGGATCAGCTTAGCTCAGTGTGAAGGCCTTGGTTCAATCTCCAGTATCACAAAATTAATTAATTTTAATAATTTAAATTTAAAAATAAAACTATTAATGAGGATGTATATATTCTTATTGAACATTTGTATTTATGTTGCATTTAGGCTAATTCTGCATAAACATTTTAATTGCACACTTTTTTACTTTAAAAACCAGAGTACATTGTATGTCCATATGAAACCCATTATTCTGTATAATTAATATACCCTCATTTAAAAAAACAGTGTCAGCTGGATATGGTGGTTTGTGCCTGTTAATCCCAGCTATTTGGGAGGCTGAGGCAGAAGGATCATGAGTTCAGAGCCAGCCTGGGCAATTTAGCAGAGAACCTGTTACAGTACCTCAGTGATAGAGTATTTGCCTAGCATGCATGAATCCCTGGGTATGATCCCCAGTACGGTGTGGGGGGGGGAGGAAGAGAGAGAAAGAGAGTGCAAGGCCAAAAGTATCATTATTTCACATTCTTGATTTTTAAGACCCTTCAGAATTTAGTCCTAATCTATTTTTCTAACAGACTACTGCCCAGCAAGAGGCTTTTTTATTTTTTTGAGACAGAGTCTCACTGTGTAGTTGAGACTGGCATTGAACTCACCATGTAGCCCATCCTGGCCTTGAACTCACAATGATCCTCCTGCTTCATCCTCCCAAGTGCTGGCATTACATGCAGGTGTGCACCATTACGCCTGAAGAGGCATTTGACTCCAATAAAGAATGTTTCCTTCTTGATACAACTTACTATATTCTTTTTTTTTTTAAACAAGTTCTTGCTATGTAGGTCAGGCTAGCCTCAAACATGCAGTGATCCTCCTGCCTCAGCCTCCCAAATGCTGGCATTACAGGCGTGCACTACCATGCCTGGCCCTATAGTCATTTTTTCTTGGATTCATGTTAGTAATAATTTTTCTTTCACCTATCCAAATTCTTACAAATATCTTTATAAGCACACTTCTAATAAAGTAGCCTAGATTCTCTAGCATTCATCAGTTTTCCCTTGCTTGAATCCTCACACCACCTACTGTTTTCAAACTAGATTTAGTAGGAAATTATAGACTTCTTTGCTGTGTTATTTATGAAGCACCAAATATTGCTGAGGTCATGATAATGTACCTGTGAACAGTGCATAGTCTATCCTTGTGAAGTTTTAGTGTCGTAATGGTGCATTTCTTTCTATTTCTTTGCTTATTAGTGAATTCAGCCTTTTTCCGTATATCTCTGTACAGATGAAGCATGTTTTTAGATGTATAATTACATGTTTCCAACTGGATTGTAGAATCATATAGGGTATGAACCATGTTTTATACTTCTCTATTCCATAAAACACTGAATTCACTTCTGAGAATGTAGTCATTATTAAGTACACACATGCTCTGTTGATGTGGTAAGGAAAGTTGGAGGTTGTAGAGTTGCATACATGACCTTTTAAGTAGAGCTCAGGTTCTTAGGAACTAATTATGAGATGTTTGCAGGTTATTTAGCCACTCTTAGCCTGTGCCTGGACAAATTAAATAGCTATTTCATACATAAAGTTGTCATGCTGGTTGAGATTTTATATATATATGTGTATATATAGTTTTTATATATATGTATATATACAGTTTTTCATAATGCAGTACAAGTTAAGCATCCATTGAAAGTTACTTGTTACTATAATTACATGCTTAACCTCCTAAGCTTGAAACTGTTTTCACAAACACTTATTTACCTATTACCATTCATTGAAACAGTTACCAAGTTCTGGATAGTTCTCTTCAATTATTTTGTCAATTTAGCCGCCTCACCTTTCAATCCTCATTGTAACCCACTATAAGAAATACATTTTGTATTGTGGTTACATTTATTTGTACACATCTGAAACAAAAATTTTGAGAAATAGTATTCACTGTTATGTGTGATACATTCTATTTTTTTTGTTGTTGTTCTGTTCTATGTCATTAAAAGAAAATGGTCACAGACAAAACTTATTTCACAGCAAACAGTCTGAAACATACTGAAGTAGAATATTGGATTCTGCAAATTGCAAATTTGGACTACCGTTGAATAGGTTAATGATCAAGTGAAAGTTTTCAGTGAAATAGAAAATAGATCAGATGATTGGGGCCTGAAGCTTATTTAGAATGCACTTTTGCTTTGCTCTCCATTAGTCATATGCAGTTAGATTTACCTGTTCTCAGTTTGGCTTCAATGCTGAAGGTAGGAGGGTCCAGTTGTGCATACTCCAGAGTTAGCACAAAGTGAGATTCTTCAACAGTGGGGCAGAACTTCCCACCTTGTAAGGCAAGAATTTCTCAACCACTTTATGAATCTATTCTTTTCGTAGGACAAAAATGAAGTAGATACATGGATTAAAAAGTTGTTAGTATAATTCTTCAATAGGGACTTGGGAAAAAAACCTTCTTAAGGAAATGTTAAAATATTTTAAAAGTAGAAAAAATATCATGAATCTCTTAGTTAAATTTAAATTCAGCAATTATCAACATTTATTAAAGGAATCTTTAACAAAGAATTTTTAAAGCAATTGCTCCCCAGAATGAAGATAGATTTTTTTTTTTCACAAGAGAAATACCAGTTTTAGTGTACCTTGCTTCAATACTCACAACCTATTTTACTTGGTCCTTGCAGGAGAAAATAACTGCATAACATTGAGATCAAGGATGATGTAGAAATCTTCTGCCTCATTTAGATTTCAGGATGCCCTCCTAGGACATTAGACCCTTGGCAGCTTACCTGAAGTATTTCAACAGCCTGTTTTACCAGTCTCCATACCACCCACTCTATACCCTGTGCCTTACTGCCATTACACTGATTTTTAACAGTACTTTAAGAAGAGGAAATGAATCGCATTACTTTTATTCTTTGTTCAAAACTTTGATTTTTTTTTCATAATCAGACTCTAGCCTTCTTCCTAGCCTTCTCTTCCACTGCTTATCTTTTTCTTATTATCTACCCCTTCTTATTCTTCCTAAAATACTCCATTTTAGGACTTGTGTTTAATTTTCAGGATTCAGTTAGATACCATCTTGTAGATCAACAGTTTGGGCTTCTCTTCCTGCTTATCCTCAGTTATACAGTGATCTCTTTCAGAACAGAGCATATATCTTATTCTTGGTATACCCTCATAGTGGGCATCCAGTAATGGTTTGTTGAATGGATGTAGTCATACTTTTAGAATTTTTGAGTTTAATACCAGTATAGGTTCTCTCCAGATAGGAAGAATTAATGGTTTGGATTGTTTTCATTTGGTTTTAGTGTTTTTGTTTTCTCCCTGGGAGACTTAAAATTTCTAAAGAGAACCTAAGTTCTGTAGCTTTTTCTTTAGAGTGAAATATACTTAGGTAAACTAGTATATAGTACCCATCTTCAGTTATCCTGTAGACAAGGTAAGTAAAATCTACTTTCAGTACACTTAATTTTGTCTGCTGAAAATTTTAGTTTTATTCTGTGAGTTAGAATAAATTTGTGCTGTAAAGCTCAAAGTAGTCTTGACTAATTTTTTTATATATTTCAGCTCATGGAATGCTGTGTGAATGCCTTGGTGACATCATTCAAAGAGACTATCTTAGCGGAGTGCCAAGGCATGATCAAGCGAAATGAAACTGAAAGTAGGTAAAACATCTAATAAAAACATTAAATTTCTTTCAAGAGAGTATTTTTTTTTTTTTTTGTACTGGGGATCAAATGCAGGACCTTGTGCTTACGAGGCAGGTACGGTGCCATTGAGCTAAATTCCTGGCCCACAAGAGAGTATCTTTGAAGCACATCAGTTAATAAATTGCTGTTACCTCATTGTCTTACACATGCATTTGTTAGAGTAATTGTGTAGTGAAAAGCAAGCTGCTTGTTAGTATAAGTGAAATATTTGAAATTCTATTTTATTTATTTATTCTTTTAGATAGAGCCTTGCTGTATACCCCAGCCTGGCCTCAAATTCATAATTCTCCTTCAGCCTCCCAAATACTGGGATTCCAGGCAAACTATTTGAATTTTTATATACTAATCAAAGTAAGAGTTATGTTTGATCTATGTTGGACACCCTACAGAAGGATTTTTTTTTTTAAACTGAGATTGAACCCACTTCACACTTTTTAATTTTTTTGTTTGAAAAGTTAGTTCCCCAGGCTGGGCTCAAACTGAAAATCCTGCCTTGAGACCCCCAAAGGTCTGGGATTAACACGCATTTGTCACTATGCCTGGCCGAAAAATTCTTTATGAATGTAGATTTATATTTATTATAAGTTTCATTCATTCATTCATTCTTGAGATGGGGTCTTGCTATATTCCCCAGGCTAGTCTTGAACTCCTGACTTTAAGTAATCTCCTTACATCAGCTATTTGAGTAGCTGGGACTGTAGGTGTGTACCACCTACAGCTGCATTGTACTTTTCAGAATAAAAAATATTTCATCTCATTGGAGATTAAATGGAGTTGGAGTTTACAGTTTGTGATCACTTTTAATTAGATTGTTTTTAAAAGTAATTTTTGTCAAACTTAGAAGATCGATCAGGAAGCCCTACTTACTATAACTTTTAAACTGAATGTACTCAGAGCATATTATTAACATAAATATTTCTCCATTGGTTCATGATATAAAAGAAAATTCATTCTAATTGATAATTGCACGAGTGTGTCCTTTTTTTTTCAGAGTTACATTTAATGTTTTCATTGATGGACAAAGTTCCTAATGGGATAGAGCCAATGCTGAAAGACTTGGAGGAACACATCATAAGTGCTGGCCTGGCAGATATGGTAGCAGCTGCTGAAACTATTACCACTGTAAGTCTCCTTCAATAGTGCTGATAGATGTGTGTTAATTTTTTTTAAATGCAGGATTAGGGATTGAAATGGCAAAAAATAATACTAGAATACCTTTTAATTTTATTTTTTAAGAAAAAATTTCCCCAACTTTAAAACTATAGTTTTTATTAAAATTATATTTTTCTGTCATTATTTTCCTTTTAAAAACTCAATTAAATGTAAAACATTTTGTTTCCAGGACTCTGAGAAATATGTTGAGCAGTTACTTACATTATTTAATAGATTTAGTAAACTCGTCAAAGAAGCTTTTCAGGATGATCCACGATTTCTTACTGCACGAGATAAGGTATATGTTCTTATGTATTAACATTTTGTATTACAAGTGTTATTCTTATAATTTACTTTAAGCAATTTGCATCATTATGCTATGAAATTGCAAACTAAAATCCAAGCAACTCTAATTTTACTTCAGTGAACAGCAGCTGTATTTTTAGGCATTGCTTACCTTTATGAACTAGAATTTAGCTAGAAAGTTACTCTCTTCATTTTTCCCAAGAATATTCTTCTGTTTTTTTAATATTACTGATTATTGGGTTCCTATTTATTCTTCTTTAAGATCTAGTTCCCGCTCTACTTTCCTTGGAACTTCCTTGACACCTAGCCTCCCTTCACAGTTCATCCTAAACAGTTTAATTCTGCCATCCTCAGTCCTTTCATAGGGTTCCTTTGAGAGGACTGTCCTAGTTCCTTTTCTCATTGCTGGGACAAAATACCCAACATCCAAATTTAAGGGAGGAAAGGTTCATTTAGCACACAGTTTGTAGAGGTTTCAGTGCATAATCAGCTGGCTCTAAGACAGAGTGATAATGTGGCAGAATAGAACAGTTCATGGCAGGCAGAAAGTAACAAAGCAAAAGGGACCTTACCAATGTCTTTCTGCCCCTTTTATCTTATCCATACTACTTAGGGCAGGTGGCTCTCACACCCTTAATCCTAGTGCCCTTGAGCCTACCAATGTACCATGAGTCAGTGCCAGCATCGCATACATTCTAGATCCAGGCACCCCTGAAAAAGCCTCATCTATGACCACATGAGGCTTTGGGGAGATATCTAGACACAAGCCGTAACAAGGATTTAGCATGATATCCTCCAGGTTCATTGATTCATGTTGTTGCAAATAGTGAGGCATCCTTTTCAGGGCTGAATAAAATTCCATTATATATTTGCACCAGTTTTCTATTCATTTGTCAGTAGACACTTAGATTGGTTGCTTTCATCTGTTGGCTATTGTGAAGAGGGTTGCAGAGAATATGGGAGATCAAGTATCTCTACAAGGTAGTGATTTCATTTCCTTTGAATATATGCCCAGAAGAGGAATTGCCAGGGATCTTGATTCTATTATGACAATAGACTGTACTGGATTTGCTAATGAATCATGTGGAATATGATTGAGATCAGGGATGACACTCAGTGGTTCTGACCATTTGGAAGGTTATGTGTATCATGGTGGGTAAATCTGTGGTTGAAACAAGTTTTGAGGAGGTGGTTGTAAGGACATTGGAAACTAAGTTTTGAACAAGTTAACATTAAAGTGTATGTTAAACATTCATGTGGAAATGTTGAGTCTACAGTTTAAGGCCAACAAGGAAGCTGGAAAGCACTGATACTGCCTACAGTCATCAAAGAAATAACTTACTTGGAAAAGAGAAGAGATCCAAGGAATGACCTAGAATTCCGATATTAAGTTGTTAGAAAAGTGAGGAACCATCTTTTGAGGGAAGAGAGAATGACTAATGACTAGGAGAGTATGGTGTGTTAGAAAACAAGTGGAAAAAAGGTTTTGAAATGTTGCTGATGAGTTGAATGAAATGGGAGTGAACCATTATATTTGGCAACATGGAGGCTGTAACTTTTACATGAATAGTTGAGTGGACCAGTCATTTGAAAGCTTAACTAGAAGAGGTCCTAATTAAAAAAAAAAAATTGAACTGGGTGTGGTAGCACATGCCTATAATCCTAGCACTCAGGAGGCTGAGGCAGGAGGGTTGCTGCAAGGTCAAGGCCAGTCTGGACTACACAGTGAGTTCAAAGCCAGCCTGGAATACATCACCTAACAAGACCCTGTCTTTAAAAAAAAAAAAAAAAAATGAAGAAAAAACATAATGAAAAGATGTGGGAGAGAAATTGGAGATGGTGAGTTAGATAATTCTTTAGGAGTTTAGCTTTAAGGACTGGAAAGAAATGGGACCTTAACTGAGGGTGGACTGAGACAAGAGACAAGTTTTAAAATATAAAAAAATAAAAACAATATGCTGCTTATGCTAAGGCTGCTCACATGATGGAGAGTGGAAAATTGATGTAGGGATGACAAGAGGTAAATCTGATTACATCCGTTTTCTCAGTGAAATAGTAAGGCACATGGTTTGTTGAGAGTATACACAGGAAGGAAAGAGAAGTTTGAGGAGAAAGGAGATGGTACAAAGATACTATCTAGGAGCCCTGCATGGTGGCACACCACGCACCTGTATCCCAGCACTTGATGGGCTAAGACAGGAGGAGTGCTGAAAGTTTGAGGCCAGCCTGGGCTACATAGTAAGTTCAAGGGTAGCCTAAACTACATAGTGAGAGCCTCTTTCAAGGAAAAAAAAAAAAAACTGTCTAGGAGAATAAGACACTGAATATGAAGAATGCCATTGGGATTTAGATAGGGATTGCAATGTTGTGGTTGTTAGGCAACATTGAGACCCAGTTAGAATATTGGTAGTTATAACATGACAAAGAGCATGCTAAAGTCTTTGAAAATATATTCTATCATGACATTAAAAATAAAGTCTGGGCTAGAGATGTTGTTCAAGGGTAGAGTGCGTGCTTAACATGTGCAAGGCCATGGCTTTGATCTCCACCACTGCAAAGCAACAACAAAATACTTGATGCATATTTTTGACACACTTTTGAAAGTGTAATAATTTATGTATATATTTTAAACGTTTAAAATAATGCTCATTCCATTTCATATTATTTTTTTGCAGGCATATAAAGCTGTTGTTAATGATGCTACCATATTTAAACTTGAATTACCTCTGAAGCAGAAAGGGTAAGCTTTTGTAAAGGTGTATTTTTTAAATACTTAAATTGTTTTGGACTGCTTTACTGAGCCTATAAGATACCCTATTTTCCTGTTAGGTTTGTTTTTGTTGTTGTTATTAGGACTCTTCCTGCCCTTTACTATTGAAACTCTTTGGTATATAATTTTTTTTTTGATCTTTTATTAATTTTTAAAAATTAATTTATTGGTACATTTTAGGTATACATATAATGACATTCATCATTGGAAATTTGCACCTTTACCTAATCTCTCTTGGTTCTTATTTTTTCCCCAATTCCTCTGCCCTCCTTTCAACCCCTCCACCCTTCCCTATTTACAAAGACTTTGTTTCCATTTTTTAAATTTTCTCATATTAATTTCATTCGCTTCTTTCCTTTCCCCTACCCCTCCCACTTCCCCTTCCCCTTTGGCCCTTTTCTTCCTATTTCACATTATCTATTATACCTGTTAGTCCTGATTTACACTTTGTTTCTCACACTAGAGAAACTATTCAGTATTTACACATGTATGTCCTATTTATTTCACTTAAGAGTATCGCCTCAATGTGCATCCACTTAGCTATAAATGTCTCTAATTTCTCATTTTTTATGGCTGAGTAATACTCCATTTTATAGAAAATAACATTTTCTTTATCCAGTCTCTAGTTGATGGGCAATTGGGCTATTTCTAAGTTTTAGCTATTACAAACTGGTGCTATGAACATGGGTGCACATATATCACTGTGGTATGATTCTTTTAATTCTTTGGGGAAGATAACCACCAGGGGAACAACTGGGTCAAATGGGACTTCCGGTCCTAGTTCTTTGAGGTATCTCCATACTGACTTCCACAGTGGTTGCACCAGTCTACACTCCCACCAGCAGTAGAGCAGGGTTCCTCTTTCCCCACAGCCCCACCAGCATTTGTTATTGGTTGATTTCCTGATAGCAGCCATTCTTTCTGGGGTGAAGTGGAATCTCAGCATTGTTTTCATTTGCATCTCTTGAATGACCAGTGATGTTGAACATTTTTTCATATGTTTATTTGCTATTTCTACTTCTTCGTCTGAGAAATGTCTGTTCATTTCAGATGCCCATTTTTGGATTGGATCTTTAAATTTTGGAGGTCTGATTTTTTAAAGTTCTTTATAGATTCTAGATAGTAGACCTTTATCTGAGGAACAGCAGGTGAAAATTTTTTTCCCACATTGTAGGTTGTCTCTTCACACTGTTGATGGTTTCTTTTGCTGTGCAGAAGCTTTTTAATTAGAAGAGGTCCCCCTTGTTGATTGTTTGTGCTAGTTCACAGGCAGCTGAGGTTTTGTTCATAAAACCCTTTTCCTACACCAATGTCTTCAAGAGTTCTACCTAATCTCTCTTCCAGCCAGTTTAGTGTTTCTGTTTTAATATTTAGATCTTTAATCTATTTTGATTTTAGTTTAGTGCATAGTGAGAGATACAAGTCTAGTTTTAATCTTTGCCAAGTTGAACCCCAGTTTTTTCAGCACCATTTATTAAAGAGGCTATCTTTCCTCCAGTGAGAGTGTTTGGCTCCCTTGTCGAAGATGGGTGGCTGAGTGTGTCTGGAGTTGTTTTTCCATCTTCTAATCTGTTCCACTGGTCCTCAGATCTATTTCTTTGCCAGTACCATGCTGTTTTTTTATAACCGTAGCTTTGTAGTATAGTTTCAGGTTGGGGATTGTGATACCCCCTACCTTTTCTTTATTGCCTAGAATTACTTTTGCTATTCTAGGTCTCTTGTTCCAAATGAATTTTTGGATTATTTTCTCAAGGTCCGTGAAGTATGCTGCTGAAATTTCAATTGAGATTGCATTGAATCTATATAGCAGTTTTGAAGTATGGCCATTTTCACTATGTTGGCTCTTCCTGCCCAGGAGCAAGGGATGTTTTTCCATTTTCTGATACCCTCTTCAGTCTCTTTTTTCAGAGTGCTATAGTTTTCAGAGAAGAGGTCTTTGATTTATTTTGTTAGGTTGATTCCTAGGCATTTCAGTTTTTTGGAAGCTATTGTGAAAGGAATTGTTTGCCCCATTTCTCTCTCAGTGAGTCTGTTGTTTCTGTACAGGAAAGCTATTGATTTTTGTGTGTTGACCTTGTATCTAGCTACTCTATTGAATTTGGTTATTAAGTGTAGAAGACTTTTAGGGGAGTTCTTGGGGTCTTCTAAATAGAGTATCATGTTGTCTGCAAATAATGACAATTTGACTTCTTCATTTCTTATCTTTATTCCTTTTATTTCTTTCTCTTGTCTAGTTGCTGTGGCTAATGTTTCCAAAACTGTATTGAGCAGAAGTGGTGATAGTGGGCATCCTTGTCTTGTTCCTGATTTTAGTGTGAAGTATTTCAGTTTTTGACCATTTAGTATGATATTGGCTGTTGGTTTTTCATAGATGGGTTTTATTAGATTGAGGTTGAGATTGTCTATTCCAATTTTTTGTAGGGTTTTTATCATGAATGCGTGTTGGATTTTGTTAAACACTTTTTCTGCAGCTATTGAGATGATCATATGGTTTTTGTCCTTGGCTCTGTTAATACAGTGTATTACATTTATTGATTTGCATATGTGGAACCATCCCAGCATCCCTGGGATGAATGCCACTTGATCAGGGTGTATGATCTTCTTGATGATCTTCTGCATTGTATTTGCCAATATCTTATTAAGGATTTTTGCATCTATATTCATTAGTGAGATTGGCCTATAATTCTCTTTTTCGGTTGGGTCTTTGTTTTGGGGTTTAAGGTGATGCTTGCTTCCAGGAATGAATTTGGGAGTGTTGCTTCCCTTTCAGTTTCACTGAAGAGTTTAAACAGTAGTGGCAATAGTTCTCTAAATGCCTTGTAGAATTCAGCAGTGAAGCCATCATGGACTGGGCTTTTCTCAGTTTGTAAGTTTTTAATTATATTTTCAATTTCATTGTTTGATATTG